AGTGCTCTCTGCCTAATGTCTCAAACTCAACTTTCACGTATCCTTAATGTTTCACGTATCGATACGTAAAATTTTAGCGGGAAATTTCGCAGCTTAAGGACTAGACAGCAGGTTGACTGTTTTTGTAAAGCAGTGAAAATTAGCGGGCAAACGTCCGCTAGACGGAACTGCGCAAAACGCGTGATCGTACCAGCTATCCTGGTACGCGCTGCTATTTATTTCTTTTTATAGCAGTCCACAGATTCGCTGGTAGGTTAAGCAGTCGTTTTATAGGGGGGTAAATAATTACGTGAAAGAAATCAGGTATATTAAACTCTAAGTGGTCAATCGCAAGAGCTGAGGAATAACCGACATTTTCAAGGGGTCAGAGTTCGGCATACAATTTTTAGAAATATCGAATGTTCCTGCACCATACCAATAATTTAGCAAGCACTCTCATGTGAGGAGTGTCAATAAAATGGTACCTCGAAAACATATCTTGTAATACACGTGTTCAGGATATTGATGTTGATGTAGTGGCACTACTCAACGACACAGTTGGTACCCTCATGGCATGCGCCTTCAAAGAAAATAGCTGCCAGATGGGAGTCATCCTCGGAACCGGCACCAATGCCTGCTATATGGAAAAGCTCTCCAACTGCCCGAAATTTGCAAAATATGGCTTTGACAGGGACAAGTACCCGAAAGAAGTGAGTTTGAAGTTAACTTCTTTATCTATCAACATTCTGAGAATTCCATTCGAGCACACGCTTTGTTTACTTGCAGCCTTGAAAAACATTTTACTTTGAACCATCTTGTCACCAAGTACTAGAAAAATCAAGATTTCTTTATTTTACTAAGGGTGCTAATTTCAGATGATAATAAACATGGAATGGGGCGCATTCGGCGATGACGGTTGCCTTGATTGCTTCCGCACGAAGTATGATAGGGAAGTGGATGAAAAATCAATCAATCCCGGGCTACACTTGTGAGATCTAGTTCTTGATCACATTCACTGAGAAGCGTTAGAAGATAGAAATCCACGAGTTTAGATTTCTGCCTTCTATTGCTTCACAGTTACTTGCTGTATCTGTAAGTAACGCAGGTCATTTTTTGTGCAAAAAGCATTCATGCAGCAGTTTTCTTTGTTGGCGAGTTACATTCACTGCTGGTTTATGACAGTCGCGTGTTGCTGTCACAAGGAGCAAAATGGGAGTTTTTCCATGGTTTCCACCTGCATCAATCTGTACCATTCTTACGCTACGTCAGAATTCAGGAAGAAAAGTTTCAAAATATTCCCATAATAATTAACAATCAGCTGAAAAACCTGTTCTTTTAAAATGAAATAATAAGACGGCAAAGAGCGAGGCCGCCGCGAGCTAGTGGTCTGAAGAATTAAGATATTCAAGCGTGAAGACGGCCGCAAAACCGTGAACTCGTAAGGATCGAGTAATGTTGAGTTGTTGTAGGTTCGAGAAAATGATCTCTGGGATGTATATGGGCGAGCTAGTTCGTCTGGTCCTTCTTGAGCTCGCCAAAAACAAGTTGCTTTTCGGCGGCGATACTGAAGCGATTTCGAAGCCTGACTGTTTCCCGACCAAATTTGTATCCGAAATTGAAGAGTTTGTTTAATTTAAATTTTATGACCGGTATCGGTGCGTTTGCTAGTGCGATCACGTATCATTACGATCAGCTAAAACGGTTGCCTATTTGGTGAATGACAGCTTGCTTCACATTTTTTTATTACCGTAGCAGAGCAGAATTTTCCATTTTGAAATGCGATGCCTAGTTCTGCAGTAAAATTTAGGATTGAGACAAGGCCAAGGGAGAAAAATTGGAACTTTCTGGCTTGCTTGCTGGAAGAGTTAAAGGATTCTGTAATTTTAAATTTCAATTGTCCTTACGTGAGAAATACATAAAGTTTTCTTTTCCGGAGAGCAGATATCTTTGTTTCGCGCCACTTTGGGGATTTTTTTTTGTAAAATAAGAACGATCTTTTTATTGGCTCGACCAGTGAATTTCTGGTTATTTATTTGCGCTCTGAAACACTTTTTGCTCCGAGAAAATACACTGGGCAGCTATACTGAGCTGACAATTGTCTTAAAGCCTGAGAATAACAAGTGCGGGAGCTTTACACTTGTTCAACTGTCTCGTGACAAAACAGCGGTTGAAGTTGAGATGTTTTCTCAATTTTTTCGCGAAAAATTACTTCAGTTCTGGCAAAAATCACACATAACAAGCATAAACAATAGACAAAAGCTTCCGTATTTGATAGACTTTTCGGTAGCATCTTCCCAGGTTTAGGGTTCTGTGTGAAACGTTACTGAATACGCTTCCTAGTGACTCATGCAAAGACTGTAAGAAATTGCTAGCAAACACAAAATTAATACCGACAAGAATTAATTAATACGCTTTTAGGCAAAAGGGCCTTGGAGACTTGCGACGAGCATTGAAAATTCTTCAGGAGATTGGGGTTGACAAAATGAGTGATAGCGATTGTGTGCACGTTGCTTACGTGTGCGAGGTGATCAGCCGCCGGTAATTCTTGATTTGTTCTAAAATTGAGGTACAGGAAACTGTGCTATCGACCTGTTTGAAAGGTTGCCGCATTGTTTTAACTTACAGAAGCGTTACAGAAACTTTACGCTTTCGACTTGGGCGGGGATTTAAGTTTCGATCTCTATCTCGGATGCGGAAACACATTTATAAAACTTTAGCTTCCTAGCTGTGAGTTCCTAAGTTCATATATAGATGGAAGGTCTGGCAAGTACAACAGCTTCGCTTCAAAGCACTTTGTTTCGTGATATTGCATAAAAGCACCTAGTCATTTATTTATTAGCACTTTAGCAATAGAAATTGTCAAGAATAAGCAAAATTTTAACGAAATTTTCGTAGAAAATGATGATGGAACGTAACCTTTATGGAGAAAAGGCAACATTTGTCTGTTTTCTTTTCTTTCACTTGCTATAATAGGCGTTTGGAGCACTTGTCTTTCCTTCTGCCAAAATGGCTTCCTTTACTCTTATCAAGCACAACATGTGGCAGCTTGAAAACATCCTTCGCATGGTATGAAAGTTGTGGAACTTCAAATTCTGGTGAAGTATTAGGCAAAATGATAAGCGGCGTTCAGAAAATCATTGCGTCCACG